TTTGTTCTGGCCAGCTCTTCAGCTGACTTTTGTGGGTACACCCTCTCAGGGAATGGTATCGCAGCTGACCCGGAAAAGGTCCGCGCCATCACGGATTTTCCCACCCCTGCTAACCTGACCGACTTGAGGTCCTTCATCGGTCTCGTCAACCAGTTAGCAGAGTTTTCGTCAGACATCTCCGCAGCTGCTCAACCACTTCGCCCCCTGATGAGCCCCAAGAGGACATTCCTGTGGACCCCCGACCACGACAAGGCCTTCCAGCAAGTGAAACAGGCCCTGTCTCGTCCACCTGTCCTCGCCACGTTTGACCCAGCCTTGCCGACAGTTCTGCAGACAGATGCCTCACGCTTGTATGGCGTGGGATACGCCCTACTGCAGGATCATGGTGGAGGGCAGTTCCGGCTCGTCCAGTGTGGCTCGCGTTTCCTCTCTGACACTGAGACGCGCTACGCCACCATTGAGTTGGAGCTGTTGGCTGTGGTCTGGGCGACGTCCAAGTGCAGGTTTTACCTCATAGGCCTGCAACACTTTCACCTAGTGACCGACCATCGCCCGCTTGTCCCGATCCTCAACCACTACACGCTAGACGCCGTTGAGAACCCTCGCCTCCAGCGTCTGAAAGAGAAGCTCTCGGCGTACATCTTCACAGCAGTGTGGCGTGCTGGTAAGGAGCTCTGCATCCCTGATGCCTTATCCCGCTCTCCTGTCAGCCGCCCTACTCCAGAAGACCATGTGCTCGACGCCGACCTCGCTCTTTCCGTCAGGACTGTGGTCACTCTCCATGCCGTCCAATCCCTTCGTTCGGACCTGTCACCAGATGACGACAAGGCAATGGAGGACCTTCGAACAGCGGCCCGAGATGACCCTTCCTACGTCCGACTTGTCGAGTGTGTGAGGAATGGATTTCCTAGCAACCGCTACGATCTTCACAACACCCTGCTCCCGTATTGGAAACTCCGCGATGAACTCTACTGCGACGGAGACCTTGTTCTGTACGGAGCACGTGTAGTTGTCCCTGCTGCATCACGTCCCCACGCCTTGGCTCGCCTTCACGACAGCCACCGTGGAGCTGAGGCCACCAAACGACGTGCACGACAGACTGTGTTCTGGCCCGGCATCAACTCCGACATCTCCAATGTTGTCCGTGCGTGTGAGCCCTGCCAAGTATTACAACCCAGCCAGCAGCAGGAACCCTTCATGAGTGACGACAACCCCACCCGCCCCTTTGAGTCTGTGTCGGCCGACTTTTTCTGTGTGTCAGGAAAGTCCTTCCTCGTTATCGTCGACCGTCTCTCTGGTTGGCCGGTTGTCATCAAGTGCGGTAATGACACGACGTCTGCCGCCACCATCAGCAAGTTCCGCCACTACTTCCGTGACGTGGGCGTTCCTGTACGCCTGCGAACCGACGGAGGGCCTCAGTTCACAAGCCGGGACTTTGCTGCGTTCCTTGACCGATGGGGAGTCCGGCATGTGTTGTCATCGCCCCATTACCCGCAGTCCAACGGCCACGCTGAGGCTGCTGTCAAATCTTTGAAGCACCTCATCCTTAAGGTGGCCCCTTTTGGGAATATTGACTGCGAGGCCTTCGACCGGGGTCTTCTTGAACTCCGCAACACACCCAACTACACCGGACGCTCCCCTGCCCAGGTTTTGTATGGGCGCCCCCTTCGTTCTTGTGTCCCTGCTCACCCTCAATCCTTCTCCAAGGAGTGGCAGGCTAAGACAGAGGATTGTGATCGCCGAGCCGCCGAACGTGTTCAGGACGTCGTCGCCCGCTACAACGACCACGCCCGTTCTCTCCCCAGGTTGAGTGTCGGTACCCAAGTCCGTGTTCAGGACCCGACCTCCCTGCGTTGGGACAAAGTAGGCGTAGTCATGGGTCTCGGCAGGTCACGGGACTACCAGGTGCGGTTACCCAGTGGTCGTGTGTGGTGGAGGAACCGCCGTTTTCTCCGCCCCGTAACAATGCCTTCTGCTGGCCCCGCCACCAGTGTTGAGTCCCATACCCTTCCCAGTGATGAAGTCCCTCGACGCTCAGAACGGATCCAGAAGAAGAGGTCCGCTCAAGACTTTGCTATGAGCGTATAGGGGGGAGGGAGGTGTATGTATATTATGTATGCTGGATTATGTATTATGTATGTATATTATGTATGTGCTCCATTTATATTTATTCAGCCTAGCTAGCAGCGTGTGGCAATGTTATTACCATATCCCACACGCTTAATTAATGTGCCTGGCGGCGATATGGAAGCTAATGTATCACTTGCCATTAAGCCTGTGGTAATTGACCAGGACCTTAGCTAAGGCAGTGCTATCACCTCTGTGTACATACTCTTATCCAGTAAACAACCTACAAAACTATACAGGTGTTGTGATGTATATAGAACTTATTACCCAGAACATCTAACAAATAGACCTTGTCTTTTCTTTGATATTATAGTTCCCTTTATAGGTGTTGTTCCTTTCACTACTTCACGAATACGTTCCTTGTCCTTCAGAATAGTGGATATAGTCGAGTGTGAGAAACCTAGGTCGCGTGAGATTGTTGCTACTGTTTTTCCATTCTCATACTGTGTTATTATCTTCAGTTTCATCTCAAAAGTAATTGCCTGTTCCTTTTCCTTGGAACACCACTAGCACTCTCACTTTTACGCTTTCCAGTCATTATAAAGTCAATTAAATACGATAATAACGAAAATTCACAGCGCGATCATTATAGGATACGATAGCCAAACACAAACAAAGCGCTCCACTGAGTGAGTGTACCCACGAGGCGACCCGAGACACGCCACCCTCTCGCCCGGGACGGAAACGTTTCGGTATAGAAAATGCGCGTGTCATTTGAAAATATTTTTGGTCACGACGGTCGCAGTTGTATGTCCTGACGGACGTACGGTCAGAGCAGGTCGTAAGTACCAATGGACGTAAGTTCATGTAGTCGTAAGTCGGGGTCTAGCTGTACTGTATAAACTAATTTTTTTTTTTTACATATTACTAATATGACAACAAGTTACATTGAAATATAATAATGCCCTCAATAATTTTACTGATTATAAAATGACATTAAATTGAGGGGTTTAAACGTTACTGTGACTGTATAAATATTAAGGCTTTTCTAAGTTACAGATTATAAAGGAAATAGACATAATAGAAATAAAGTAACTGAAAATGTTCACGGATTACAAAATATGAGACTACAGTAAAGCCTCGAATAATGACTGTAATGTGTACTTCAATATTGCAGCGTATGGTGAATCATTGTATCGTGAATCATTAATTACCATTAAAATAAAGCAATATTAATAATAAGATACATTCCCTAGTGTGACCTTTTCGTATCTTTTGTGTTGCTTTTTACCCTCTTTTTCCCCCCAAACAAAAAAATTAATGAAAAATGCAAATTATATTCTTTAAATAGTGTTTATGAATGCACCTCATGCAATATAAATCAATAATGATATGGTCACACAAGAGGAGATGGGATGCAATTGTTGTTGTCAGTGTTTACTCCCATGATGCCAGTTCTCCATCTGAAACTAAAGAAAATAGGACTGGTTGTAGCTGTAGTAAAATTAATGTAAACAAAATATGTATGTGTTAATTAATGTTATGTAATGTACAGTAGAAGTAACCAGTGATGGTAAAGACAAAAAAGTGAGAGATTGTTAGTGGAAGGCCAATGTATGTACGTACGTTCAGTAAGTCTGTGATGGTTTCGACAGATTCAAAGGATTGGTAACCTCTGGTCGAGCCAAACACATGAGCAGTCTTGCCCTCCAACTTTTGTTTGTTTAATTGAATGTTATTACCAAATTTTCATTAATTTTTATTTGTTAAGGAGATAATTTTATTTGTATTCTTATATTTTATCATTTATGTGAGACTTGTGGCTATACAGTAAACCCCCGCTTTACGCGGTTTCACTTTACGCGTTTCCACGTTTACGCGGTACCCTGCCGAAACCGGAATGCTCACTTTCCGCGGTGTGTGTACCCTTTTACGCGGAGAGCGGTGCGAGCAGGGTGTGCACAAGGTCGCCCAGTCATCAAAACATTACTGAGTTCTTCACCCTCCACCCACCACAGCCGGCCCAAGTCAGTGATAGTGATAATGATAGTGAGGATATGGACTTATATGGACTTTGAGGGGTTTGACAAAGAGGCCCTGCAAGCCTCTGTGGTGGATAGTGATACAATTGATACAAGTGACACAGGTGAGGGCCAATTATCTGCCCTCTGCCTCGGAACCAACCCCCCATCCCCGTGTGCCCAGCCATCTTTTCTACTAATGTAAGTGTTCAAAAACCTAATATTATTGATATTTCTCTTAATTATTAATTGTGTGTGCATACCATCATAAATTTAAGAAGTTATTTTTACTACAACGTAGGTATTGTGTCTGAAAAAGTGGAGTTTGGGGGTCGGCCCGGTCTCTGTTTCAATTAATCCCATATGTTATGTTGTTCACTTTACGCGGGCCGCCGTGGGTTCAAGTGACCGTGTAAAGTGAGGGTTCACTGTACTGTATTAGCAAGTTGATGGAGGTTTTTCCTTCATATCATTACTCAAGTCTCTGCTGTTGGACTAACCTATTTTATGTGTGTTCCAAAGTATTTGTAAACTCTTTCTGTGTGTCTGTAAAAAAAAAAATGTATGCCAACTTTACTTACCAGAGTGAAAGTTTACCTGACTTTGAAATTATAGTGAGCAAAATTTATCATTGTTGAGATTAAGATGAAATGTCTGAACCCTTAAATGGCGCCTGAGGATTCCGTGTCCCTCATCAGATGCAAAAAAAAAAGGGGGGGGGGGGCTCAAGGAATATGAAACTTCCATTTGTAATGACCGCGTACTGGTGATACACTATCTGCCATTTAAGGGTTAATATTATAGATAAATATCTGCAAATTGAGTAAAACTTGCATAGTGAAGTTGTCAGTATCATATTTTACGAGACTTATGTCCACAACTTGTTTCACCATATTTCATCTCATATTACAGATTATCCCAGTGAAGCATGTGAAAAATTTAAGCCTCGACGCCACTAATCTGTCAAACCGAGAGCTGACGGTTCTGCTGGCAGAGATGCATAACTTAGAACAGTTGACTCTGCGCCTAACCCTGCGGGCCATCATTAACTTCAACATTCCTAATGAAGAGGATGCCAGGGTCAGTAGCATCTTACTCCTTCACTTGTTCTTCATTTACAGGATCATGAAAATATATGGTGTTGTGGATCAGGGAAGGCAAGGCAAACAGGCCTTGAGGAGGAAGGAAATGGAGAGCAAGAAAAGGGAATGGATAAAAGAGGCTGTTTGCTCAATATTTTATAAAATTTTCTTTGAGAAGTTGGACCATCAAAAATTATTGATACCAGAAAACTATAATGTTTTGGGCCCTGTCCAGCAGACTGTGAGGATAAGAGCATATATCTGCCCCTCCCCCCCCCCTGTCCCCCTTTTAGGGATGTAATTACTAACAATAGCTAGTACTGTATTATATTTTCTTCATGTTTACTCTTCTTAAAGTTGTTACCTCTTCACATATGTGGTGGATTGAATTTATGGCTCAGAAGCTAGGGGATCATTTCAGAGTTTGCATGATACTGTTTTTGGAACTGGCAACTGGTGGTCATTACCCACTACTGTATACAGGTAAAAATACAGGTAAAGAATAAATTAAAAAAAACAAACAATCTAACAATAAATCCTGTTAAATGCCATCAAAGTTGTGGGGTCGAGGGGAGTTCACAAGGAATCTCTTCACTCCTCTGTGGGAGCCTCGTGGGTGGACATGTGGCTTATGGAAGCTTCTCCAGCACTGCCGGCATATTCTTCATCGTCGTCACTGAAATTCTCCTAAGATTCACTGGACTCTATTCAAATGGAAGAGAAGTCTATACTGCCTTAGGCCTCATGCCAGAAGACTTGACAAAATGTTTTAAGAAAAATAAATCATGGAATATTTAAATTGGGCCTACAAAACAATAGATTGCAACAGTTGCAGGATATATCTATTGTGCTGGAACCTCACACAATGTGAGACCTTTGACGATCATTGAACGAATCTGCAACATCAGGGAAGTGACACACTTCACCACTATGACTAGGTAACCAGAGAGAGCAACTGCCATTACAAAGAGTATCACCTCTGAGGTGTTCTCAACAGATTGTGTATGCAAGACTTCACCTTGATTACAGGTATCTTTGGGAAAACAGTACCTTGACAACTCAAGAGTTTCGCTGCACACTTTGTAAACTTTGTGGGTGACCCAACTCTCATACATACATCCTCACTACATCCTGGCATGTCCCACAGGTCTCCACCCACTCCTCCTGGAGACAGGCCTGGTACTTGACATTATTAAGGGCTTACCATGCTTTACCATAAACAGAATGATGAACCAATACAGGTAATCATCCCTCTGTGCACTCATTTTCCCTTAACTATGATGCACGTACAGTAGGCTCTCACCAATAACGTTTAATAGGTGCCTGAAAAGCACCGTTATTAGCGAAAATGTTATGTGTGTGACATTAAAATACATGTAAAAAGGGTTTATTGGTGCGGCTGCCACAAGAATTTCACCTATTTTTTCCCCTTGAAGCCCTCCTAACACTTTTTGTTAGCTGAAATAAAAAGAATTGCTATTCAATCATCAAAATAAAGAGTTTGAGTAATATAACACTTAGTTTTTGAGGTGCTTGGTGTGATGATTGTTCCGTATCTGAGGGCCGTTAACACTTGCACTGTCTTTCATTCTACAAGCTAACCATTTCACAAGAAAATGCTCTGTTATCACTAACAACCTGTTTCTATCGCCTTTATCATTCATAGCTCGCCTCGCATTTCCATCACTACCGAAATATTTTTAGCCCGCACAATACTCTTTTTGGTCTCCTCTAAGTTCCTCTTAATATTTCGCACTGTAGACTCAGGACAGTTCAATTTCCTCACTTTAAAAGTTCCCAGTCATTCAGGTGGCAAATCACTCCCTCCACCACCTCCCCTAACAACCACTGGTTATAGTGGCGAAAATCTCACGCGTGGGCGCAGCGCTGTATTCCACTGAGCGTGTGTGAGAGTGAGGCGGAGTGGACAACTACGTCATCAACATGGCGGCAAACAAATGCTATCATTGATGCGCTCGGACGCTTCCCGCGAAATTGCCGTTATTCAAGAGAATCCAGACGTTATTATCGAAAATGGGTATCTGTTGTAACTTACCGTTATTGTCGAAAACGTTATTGTGGAAGTCGTTATTGGCGAGAGCCTACTGTAATTTGCTAATACAACCAATGGCCCCTCAGACACTCACTCTCATAAACTGTATGAATCGGAGAAGGTAATTATGAACTCCTGTTGGTTGCTACAATGCTTCTGCACTTCATCTTGCATTGGATGTAAGGGAATGTCCAATAAACTAGCCCTCGCACTGCATGGGGGCATATCTGAGACTGAAAAAAATTCATAAGGCATCTGTTGGCAAAGGGTCAATATCACTTTTCATACTAACTTGAACATGTATAAAATTTTGGACACATTAGGCAGATTTACATTGCCTAACCACACCTAGATTTTGAACTTGCTTTAAATCAGGGCCTCAAATTTAGCATAACTTGATTTTTAGCCCCCAAACACACTATAAAAGCCTTCAGTATACAAATGTAGACAGGTTTCAGTAACAGCTTTGAACCTCTTGATATGACCTCTTAAAGTACTTCAAATTGGAGGTAAAAGAAATGTTGACACCGATGTTGAAACTTGTATAATTGGGTTAAAATGGCATCACAGGCATTCAAATTTTAGTTGGAAAATTGCTGTAGTTCTAAGTGCTTGTTTAGTACAGTAGTTGTTCATTGTTTTATACGGGTGTAAATAATACCTCGCTGAAATTGTTACAATGTTTATTTTTAAGAGAAACTATATCATGGCAAGTTTGTCTCCAGATGAATACAGAAATGGTTGCATTAGTCCACCTTCATTAGTTCTCCTTTGAGATAAAACCATTATACTATTGCAATTTTTATTAATACAGGGACCTTAAGGGTCTCAAATTTGGGATACAGTATTCCCTTAAAGCTTACTGGGGTTAGGTAAAATGGACCCTGTGAGAAAGCAAGACCTGCGAGTTTTCATGCCAGTCCCAGGAATGTGTGCAAAATACACACGTATATAAATAGCTATATGTACATGTATAGCAACATTATGTATGCATAAGACAATATAATAAATATGAAATAACATAAATAAATAAACATAAATATGAAATAACACTGTATGAACATTAGGTCTATACAGTGATGGATAGTTGTGGTAGTGACAGTGCAAAGACTATACCTCTGAAACAACAGCTGATCTGGTGCACAGGATGTAAATAATCCCTGTAATGGACAGTTCCTAGCAAACATGCCCGGTACCGATAAGTATTTGTAATGTGTATACCATAGGTACCTGTAAGTATAATTATATCCTTTTGTATTAGATTTGGTAAATTCTATTAATAATAACAACAAATGTATAATAACACTGTAGGTCCATAAAGTGATAGTGAGCTGTGGTAGTGAGAAACATCAGAGCATACAGCCAGTGACTTGGCTTTGCCAGTACAGTAGGCTCTTAAACGTGCTAAAATTATTTTTCCAAATTATACCTTGCTAATTATAGGGTGCATCTTATGACCTGGGAAATATGGTGCTCTGTACTGTCCTGTAGTGATGACTCCTCTTGATCCCTGGCTCACAGCCTCAGATTTATTTTATTTATTTTCCATGGCAATCCGTGAGTTTCCGAGGGACGCAAGCTTTACAACTGCGAGCTTTAAAGGAATACTGTATTTTCAGAATTTTAAATGCAGTAAGTCCTCTCTTAACGTCGGGGTTATGTTCCTAAAAACGCGACGTTATACGAAACAAAGTTAAGCGGATCAATTTTCCCCTTAAGAAATAGATAAAATACGGGAGTTACTTTCCCCAGCCTCCCTTTGACCCATAAAATACATTACATATACAGAAAATAATTGCCATTTCTTTAGAAAATAATGTATACATATACAGCTCCTCCCCAACTTACGACGGGGTTAGGGACCCAAATCCAGGTCGTAAGTCGGAAATGCTTAAATAATACATAGAAAATCTAAAATGGGTGTCTCTTTTTCTTCTCAGCACCACAAAACACTCACTTTTAAGCTTGCCAGCCATTTTAAAGTGAATTACAAACGAAAATTTGGTCTATGTACTGACATTGGGACTCGAAAATACTTAATTTGACCAAATTTTGATACGACTGAGGCAGGTCGTAAGTGCAGGTGGTCGTAAGTCGAGTAGGTCGTAAGTCGGGGAGGAGCTGTACAACTACTAAGTTTGTATTGGTACTCACCGATGGACGGAGGTGGTAGAGCGAGTGTGTGGTGGGTAGTGAAGCGGAGGAGGAGGGTGGGAGTGGAGGAGGAGGTTGGTGAGTCACTGACACTGCGCCAAGCCGAGAGAGCGTAACGCGGCCAGACGAGAGCGGGTGATGCACCGTAAAATGCAGTCTGTGACGACGCAAAACGATGTATCGGATCACCGGGATGTTAAACGAATTTTTGGTCTCTAAAGTTTTGCAACGTAGTACCGAAATAACGTTAAGCGTGGACTTACTGTACTGTACCTATATCCTGTATACAGATCCTGTATAATGCGATAGCTCACCCAGCAGGGATGGGTCCTAAGTCTAGGCACAAAATTTATTTATATTCATTTACACAGCATATGGATACATATATTCTGCAGGTAGTTTTATGAAATATAATTTAATAATTTTGGGTGTAAAATATATGATAACATGTCCACTAAAGACCCAGAAAGGTAAGCAATCAGTACCATCTGTTTGGCATCACCATGATGCCTAACTGAGGCGCTAAACAGCCTGTGTCTTACCTTTATTCATTACACATACATACTTACCCTAGTAAGAATTATCATATATGCCATATTCAGTGTATTATCTACCATAAATATAATGGAAAGACTTTTGGATTTCAGAGCATTTCAGACTTGGGAATTTTGGATAAGGGATACCCAACCTGTACTGTACTGTGAATAATGACACGCCATATTTTGATTGCAGATGGCCATGCTACCCAACATCAAGATACTGAGCATTGAGTTTCTCTACCCCGACTTAGAGCTTGATACAACAAATGACAATCTGGATTTTGAATCTAAGGACATGATGAGCTTTTTGTCTTGTTTCTCATTAGTAAAGGAACTTTACTTCTACAACACTGTTCTTGCTCCAGCATCATATTTGGTGAGTGACATAACTATTTGTATTGTACTTTTGAAACAATGTTTGTCCCTGAGTCATCATCAGCTGAAGATTATTTTGTAGAGAACTAGGAAGTTAGAAATAACAAGCAGCTTAAGAGCTTGATACAGTAAGACTTTAAATTACATGTAACTAAGTCATATAGTTTTATTTACAGTAAGACCCCTAAAGTAAAACTTTATGGGGCTCAGGCTGGTGCGACATATGTGGACCCCTCCCCCCCTTCCCCAAGTAATTTCAACCACCACTTTGCTGAAAAAAAAAAAAACATCCCAAAACAAAATTAAAGTTAATACTTATTTAGTGTACTTATATTGTGGCAGACGAATCTTGATGAATCTTGAGTTGGAGGACAAACTAACTTTACTGTAGTTTCACTTATACAGGTTGTACTTCTCTAGTCCGGCATAATGTGGTCCGGAAACTCCCGTGGTCCGTAACGATTTTAGTTTGTCCAATAGGTAGATAAGCAGCTTTGTTTTTTTTTTTTTTTTATTTTTTTATCATCTGAATTATTATTATTATTACAGGAGTATTAAATTTTTGCCCCTCAGGCCCCAATGTGGGTCAGTGACCTATGCCCGGGTGGGCTAATCCCCTAAAAAAAAAGCCGCGGGAAATTAAGGTTTGTTTACATCCGGCAGTTCGGCTGCTCTCTCTCTCTCTCTCTCTGCTTGTCTATACAGAGTACAACATTTAACCCTTCAATATATATGAGCAGTAAATAAGTGTTGCTTTCATATTCTTATGTAGAGTAATGACGATATATTTTCACATGTGCGCACTTACATACGAGCAGTCTCACTTTTTTTTTTACCATTAATGGTTAGCTACTTATATTGTTCCATTTATTAACATTAAATAACATTACAGGTACTTCAAGCAACCATATTCATTTTTTACATTAATTTTACTACAGCTAAACTCAGGGTCTTATTTTCTTCAGTTTTATATGTAGAACCAATCAGTCACTGGTTTCGTAAGCTTTAACATAAACAATGCCGGCAGCCGTCTCGTCTCCTCTAATATTCCACGTATTATTAATAAATTGTATTGTTAATTTTGCACACACATACATTAATTCAATAAAAACAAATTCAGAAACATTAATTAAAATATATATGAACAGTAAATAAGTGTTGCTTTCATATTCTTATGTAAAGTAATGACGATATGTTTTCACGTGTGCGCATGCGCACTTACATATGCGATCTCTCTTTTTCTTTACCATTATCGTTAGCTACTTCTATTGTTCCATTTATTAACATTAAATAACATTACTTAAAACAACCATATTAATTTTACTACAGCTACAACCATGGTCTTATTTTCTTCAGTTTTATATGTAGAACCAGTCAGTCACTGGTTTTGTAATCAATGCTGTGTCATTTCCTCGTGTGGTTTAATATTCTACGTATCATTTATGAATTGTATTGCTCATTTTGCACACATAAACATTAATTCAATACAAAAGACATTCAGTAATAAACAATAATGAATCTTTTGTACATTAGAGAAATGACGCTGTTTACACAATTATGCACGTCGTCTGCACGTTGGCGGGCCATTCAAACCCGTGGAAATTCAAGTTTCCACCGTCAAAATTTTTATTTATTTTTTTTTTGTGTTCCAATAAAATACGTTAAGAATTAAAAACTCGCAAAATTTGAGAAGCTACTATACGACATTTAACCCTTCAATATGTTTTCAAAGAGACCATGATGCAGAGAAAGTGGTGCTAGTGCTTCCAAGCATAAGCACAAGTCACTATCTATCCAGGAAAAGGGTGAATTTCCATGATCCGGCCACTTCCATGGTCCGGCACCTGTCAGGTACCGAGGTTGCCGGACTAGAGAGGTACAACCTGTATTTATTCTTCACATTTATTCTTTACATTTACTGGTACAGTATAGGTATACAGTACAGGTGCTCCCCGACTTACGACGGGGTTAGAGACCCAAATCCAGGTCGTAAGTCCGATATAGAAAAAAATAAATAAATTAAAAATAAATAAATAAAAAAATTTTCTTTTTAAATTAAAAATCTACAATGAAATACAGTACACTAAACGTAATAAATAATGAGGAATGGATACAGTACAGTAAAAGTAATAAATAATGAGGAATGGATACAGTATGACTGAGCACTTACCTTAAATGTAGTCAGCTGAATGCACACAGGGCCCCCATAATTTTCTATTTACAGCATACATGGAGACTACTGTATATTAATTGGAAGAAGCAGAAGAGGAGACAGGGCTGGGTGGGTCATCAATGTCACTTTCTTCAGACAGGTTTATGTGCTGTGGAAACTTGCTGGTTGAAGGTATTGGATCATCTTGAGGGAGTGAAGAGGCAGCACTGGTGGGGTGTGAGGAGACAGCACTGGGGGACTTCTTGATAGATGTACAATTTAGACTGCACAGTTTGCTTTTTCTTTTCATTATAAATTTTCCTGTAGCAAGCAAGTGCATCTTTGACCATTCTGTCAACTTTGGCATAACGCTCATAATTTTGATCCATGCCATCAAACATTTGCATTGCTTTATTAATTGTAGCAAATGCCTCTGCCATTTGTTTCACTGAAAACTTTTTGGGGGGTGCAGGTTCTTCTACATTTTGTCTCTCTTCTTCCTCTGCAATTTTCTGTGCATCTAGTTCAATAAGATCCTCGTTACTGAGCTCTTCTGCTACACTTTCAACCAACTGTCCAACATCTTCAGTATCAATTTCTAACTCCAGCTGTTTACCTAACTCCACTATCTTGTTACTAATATCCGAAATAACTTCATTTTCATTAAATCCTTAGAAACTGTTCACATATCTTTTCAGGATTTTCTTCCATATTCCATTCATGCAATGTTTTGTAACCTGATCCCATGCTGCACTAATGTTCTTTATACATGACAAAATGTTGTAGTCCTTCCAAAACTGTCTGAGCGTTTTCTCACCTTCAGTAGCAGCAACAGCCTGAGCGAAGGTCGTGCGTAAATAATACGCTTTAAAGGCAGCAATAGCACCTTGATCCATGGGTTGGATGATAGAGGTAGTGTTAGGTGGAATGTACACTACCTTAACATCAGGGTGCATGTCGTCCAGGTGTGGTGGGTGTCCCGGAGCATTATCCAAAATCAGTAAAATCTTGAATGGAATCTGTTGTTGCAGACAATACTCCTTGGCTCGTGGAATGAAACAAGTCATGAACCAATCCTCAAACAGTACTAGGGTCATCCAGGCTTTCTTGTTACTGCGATAAAACACTGGCAGTGTGTGCTTGCTGACATGTTTAAAAGCCCTGGGGTTCTCTGAATGATAGATCATGAAGGGCTTTAGCTTGAAACCAGCAACATTCCCCCCCAACAGAAGTGTAATTCTGTCCTTGAATGCCTTGAATCCGGGCATTGTTTTCGCCTCTTTGTGGTTGTATGTCCGCTCAGGCATGCGCTTCCACAATAATCCAGTCTCATCCAAATTGAATATTTGCTCAGGCAAATAATTCCCTTCCACAATAACATCATCTAATTCCTCCTTAAAAGGTTCGGCAGCACCAACATTGGCACTAGCTGTCTCTCCACTCACCTTAACTTTATGTAGACTAGCGTTTTTTAAATCTATCAAACCACCCATGACTTCCTGTAAAGATTTGATCACATTCATCTCCTGCCTGCTCCTTCAGGCTTTGGAACAGGCTTCTTGCTTTAGCCTGTATGGTTAGAAGGCTTAATGGTACACGCTTCTGTATCTGGTCTTTTTTCCATATCGTGAATAGGACCTTGTCTTCTCTTTGATATTATTGTTCCCTTTATAGGTGTTGTTCCTTTCACTACTTCACGAATACGTTCCTTGTCCTTCAGAATAGTGGATATAGTCGAGTGTGAGAAACCTAGGTCGCGTGAGATTGTTGCTACTGTTTTTCCATTCTCATACTGTGTTGTTATCCTCATTTTCATCTCACTTTTACGCTTTCCAGTCATCATAAAGTCAATTAAATACGATAATAACGAAAGTTCACTGCGCGATCAGTATAAAATACGATAGCCAAACACCAACTAAGCGCTCCACTGAGTGAGTGTACCCACGTGGCGACCCGAAACGCGCCACGCTCTCGCCCGGGACGGAAACGTTTCGGTATAGAAAATGCGCGCGTCATTTGAAAATATTTTTGGTCACGACGGTCGCAGTTGTATGTCCCGACGGACGTACGGTCAGAGCAGGTCGTAAGTACCAATGGACGTAAGTCCATGTGGTTGTAAGTCGGGGACTACCTGTATATTATTTTATATACTGTACAAATAATAGCCTCTTCCACTCACACACCAGCCTATGGGCGATTTGATAGATGAGCCTGTCTGTCGCCGTGGACGGGCAGAACCTCTTGAAATGATTTTTCCAAGATTTTATAGTTTCATTACATGTAACAATGGTAACATACATAGCCATCTCACAGGCCACAGCTGACTGGCAACATGTGTTTGGTTTTGAGTTTTGGATTTTTGTTTTGATTAGCTGAAACTGATACATAACTATGGCAGTGCATTCTTGTTGGAGTCCATTAGTTTTTTTTTTCTTTTTTTTTTATCTTAGGTCACACTGGAACTCATGGAGACTCTGTATGATATTTTTGTATTGTTACCAAACTATATTGTGTGCAACCAAAAAATCCCATATTTTGATGATTTATCCAGACTAAAAATACCGAATTTTTTCATATACTGTACTGTATTGGAAACCTCCCTACACTGAACTGGATACTCACCAGTGATTTCGGTACAGTACAGAGAGGTAATACTGAATCTGAATACAGTTGTTGAAAAAAAGAAAAATGGATATGTCAATCATTGTGAGCTTGTCTCCTCAGGTGTATGGCTGTATCGGAGGATCGTTGGCAGTGTTACATAAGCTACAGCATCTGTCGGTAATATCTTGCCACGAGGACGTCCCCAGGGAACTCACACATCACCCTGATAATCATGATTCAAAAATTTATAAGCATTACAGTGGAGTACCTCGCATGCTGGCAGATCTTCAGGTAATGTTAAGCTGGATTAAGTTCAATAAAATAATGGTTTTGTAGGAGAGGCAGTACTTTTATGTTAAAAAAATTGGTATAATTATTTTATTTGGATTTATATCCCTATTAATGTGTTGTACAACTGTGTTATGACCATGAAAATAAAATTTTCTTCAGGATGAGACAACATTCAAGCACCTGCGAGCATTAAAGACTCTGACAATGGATGAGTTATACATCAATTCAAGCATAGACCGCATGATAGAGTTGCTCAGGTTGTGTGGAGTGATGGTGGCCGTTCACTACCGTCCTGGGGTGCACAGGTACCCATACCGTGCTAAGGGATTGACCATAGTTTTTCCTTCACATGTGCCACTGTGATGAAGCTATTTCCGACTTTAAATTATGTCTTAATTAATTTTCTTTTATCATAATTATTTGTGTGTTTCATGGTCCTCTGAGAGCTTTTTTAATCTTTTAATTGTAATGATAATATAAAAAAATAATCACTCGAGGTGTATTGTACTAAAGTAAAGATGATGTAATTTGTTTCACGTGTGTACATAATCAGCAGATGTCTGGTAATGAGTAACAACTGTTTTTTGCTTCCAGATATCTTGAATAGAAATTGTGTAAAAAAAAAAAGTTTTGGATGCATATAGTGGGTAATATGTGGAGCAGCATTGTAGTGTGGACAGTAGATTGTGGGAGAGTTTGATATTGTACTGACATAGTAGAAGGTAGTGAGGGATAAAAAAAGGTAAAGACATTAGGTTTAGCTCCAGTGAATAATGTACACTGGGACAGGCAGATCCTGATTTAAAAAAAAATTGTAGTTACAAAAAAATAAACAAATAAAGTGTCTCGTTCTTTGATTTAGGAGGAAAAACCATGGTTACGATATTTTTTCCATTTTTCATACTAAATATACAGGGGGTATACTGTGTTATATGGCTGTGTATTTACATGCCGTTAATAAACTAAGATGTGTGCTGTATGTTCTTTGATATCAGTCACCGTTGTCAGGGCGGTTTGGTTTTCTATGAAAGATGTAAAAGATGGATGTCCTTTAAAATTTGTTTACTTAATGTGAATTATATTGGTTCAATGTAATTTCTAATATTTTGTAATCATATAATATAATGTACTTATACGATACTTCTAGAAAGAAGTTTCGAGTTAATATTCTAATTGGAAAAGATTTATTGTTGTTTACATGGGAGATGCTCTCTTCTCCAGGGTTGAATTCAGGGTGTAGATGTTAGATCAGGACAGTGATTGTTATCTTGTTTCATCCATTGCATATCCTGCATTTTGTTATTAATTTATTCCCTAGCATTTTATTTATTTTTTTTTTAAGGGGATTAGCCCACCCGGGCACAGGTCACTGACCCACATCGGGGCCTGCGGGGCGAAAATGTAATGATAATAATAATAATAATAAAAAACACAAAGAAATACAAAAATGAAAACAAAAATAAAAAGTGAGAAACAGTATATGTATGTTGTGTTGTCAATAGTAAGAGAAACAATTGAAACCTTGCAATTGTGTGTAAATGAGGCAGAAGTCAGATCAGCAACCTGGGACTTGGTCACAATTTTTGTGATGCCATATGGCAGCAAGGTCTACCATAAGACAACACATTATCCTTCCAGTATCTTCCCAGGCGGTAGAACCTCCCTGTTTGGTAGCTGCTTACTACCCACTAAGTAATACATCTGTGAATGGAGGAAGAGCCTGATTGTGAGATTAAGATTGATAATTTACAGTATAAAGAATAGTTTTCCTTGGATGTTTTCTTACAGTGTGTTTGTATTAAATGTCACCTTCAACTATCAGCCAGAGGTAACAAAAGAGTGTCTACATATCCTGGTCTGTTCACCACAGCCATTATTTTAGAACGTGAATTTGATTAATGGGCCTAGGAGTTGAGCACTGCTGAAAGAGGAAGGTTATTCAGTAGTGGCCGTGACGATACTAAATTAATGAAGCTTTTATCATTATGTTTACTTATTTCATAAACCTATCATTATTCCCTAACACTCGTATTTTTATTAACTGCAAATAAGCTTTCAATGTTTCATTATTCTTCTACAACCATCATACAATTTACTCCTTAAACTCACTGAAGACAAGTACAGTACTGGAGACTTGTCTCCACCAATGTACATCACTCGGCCAATTGTTTGATTGTACAATTTCTCCTCATTTACTCTCCTGTAATATGAGGACCTGCTTTCCAAACCCATCTTATTGACATAAAAATCTAAATACTGTTTATAGTGGATAGTTGTAGCAGGAAACGTCCTTAATTTGATATTATTCGACCTGGGGGACTTTAGCCGTCTGACTAACAGCTAATATAATTGCTGAACATCTTCTATTAACACTCCTAGGTAATATAGGACCTTTATCCCTCACTTTGGTGTCATTCATAATGTTAGCTCAAATCCTTCTTTTAATACTAAATCTGCTGTTGCAATAATTCAATCATTTGTATTTGCTGTTTTAAAAACTTTATGCGCCAGAGAAGTTAGCTAATGTCATCATCACACAGACACCACGCTTACCACTTAGTTGATATAAGACCCTGACCCTTAATAGAGTCAGTGAGAGTTATAATGTTAATCACAGGCTTTGTTAAATGATTTCACCAATTTAACATGAACTTACTTCTTAGCTTTTTGGCTACTATTTTAACAATAATTCAATGATAATGAGGTGTGACACGTGAGGGAACATATCAAGGTCTCCACACCCAAGTCGTAATAAAAGGACTTCGTTGAGGAATGATTCTTTTTATTGTATCAGAGGTTCTCTTCTTTTTTCTTTTTTGGGGCTTCTTTCACAGTAGACTATCACCAACAATTGAAATTGGGATATGTTGACCACCAGTTGGCATTCAACCATTCATTCCCTTTCAAATTCCCCTCCTAAATACAACAGTTCTCTTATCCTCCGGAGCTACAGTGACATGAGCACACCATGCTATTACCAGCTCTAACCATTCAGAAGCTATTCAAAGTCTTGCTTTGAGAATTATTCTAGGAATTTATTTTTCTGCTCTTCAAGCTTTCAAATATGTAGAACAGTGGTTCTCAACCTTGTTTGCCCCATGCACCCCTTTCGCCATATGTCAGAATGTCATTCCCCCCTCATTTCCAAGATTGTCTGCCTCAAAAAATGCATTCCAAATAATATGCATATAATACTGAAAATCCTTTATTTTTTCCATATTAGTACATATACATTTACAATTTTACATGGATTATTTTTATAGTGGAGTTTTACAATTTAAATGCCAATTGAAAATGTTGATGGATTTATAAAACTTGAATAAAAGTAAAATAGTTTTTTTATTTATAATGAATTACTTAACAGACCAAATTGAAGCATAATGCAATAAACAAAAAGTTAAAATAGAATACCAGGATATTGTAAATTTGTAATTAATTTTATTCAGATGAAGATTGCAGTCAATGAGAAACCTGTGATTGTTTTTTCTTTGCCAATTCTGGGATATGCGGAGGAGTGCTTCAAAGGGCACAACGCAGGTCATTTTCTACCTCTAATCTACTACGTTGCTTCGTTTTAATTTGCAACAGAGTTGAAAAGCCTGACTCACAAAGATATGTCGACACAAATGGAAGCAATGCACGGATAGCTCTTTCTGCCACTTTTGGGTAGGAATCGCACATCAAGGGCCAAAATTCTGTGATTGATTTCTCATCGAACATATCTCTTGCTCCTGAATCAGTTTTTCCCCCCCCTGAAAACCTGAATTCCCCCCCTGGTTGAGAACCCCTGATGTAGAAGCTTCATTTACAATTGCAGACTCTGTATATGGATCTACTTGTTTTTGTAGCCACTGGTTTCCATGAACTTCTTTCTTGGCTATTTGTTTCTACCTCCTTTATAAATGCCACTTCTCTTCAGACCATTTTGGTTTCAAAGCAGCCGCCTGATACTGACACTGTAGATGTTGTATGACTATTTTTATATATCTTTATCTATTGATGAGGTTAATTAATTTTTTAATATAGTAAGTATATTTGGCTTCCAACCAAAATGCCTAGATTTCTAGAAAAATTAATTTTCATTATATTTATCGTAATCTTAATAACCCTAGTAATTACATCTGTAGTTATAATTCTTGCTTCTATTCTATAAAAAACTTATTACAGATCGAGAAAAAACTCCCCATTCGAGTGGATTTTATCTTAAAGGCTCGGCACGACTTCCTTTTTTCCCACGGTTTTCTTATTGCTGTTATTTTCTTGATTTTTGATGTTGAAATTACTCTTTTATTTCCTCTTGCTTCTATTATTCATTTAACAAACATATTTTCATGAGCTCTAACAGGGCTTTTATTTTTTTTTATTTTGCTTTTTGGTCTTTATTATGAATGGTATCAAGGTGCCTTAGAATGATCTTATTAGAGTCATATTCAATTTATGGTTTATAAGTTGCATCCATAAGGTGTTTTTATAAACTGGCTTTAAGATTAGAAAGCGAAACATCGCACTTAATTTCGGCCTAAGCTTTGGTCTATCCTAGGCCTCTAATCTTTGAAAGAAGCCAAAATAGATGCCCATCACTGTTAATGATGAAACTGGACTTAATATCCCTCCCAAGGATATTCATGCCAAAAAAAGCAGCTTCTAACTTCAGTTTAAGCTGTTGAATTCCGTTTATATTTCTTTTTTATAGTGTACGTAAATAACACGCTACATTTTTGTTGTAGAACTGAAGTATTAACTTCTAAAAATGTATAAATTTTACAAAAATGTTACTTAAATTAAACAAAATGTTAAAATAATTATTAATCTTAAATATTATCCAATATTTCAAGCTAACAAAATAATCTGATTATTAATCTTTTCCACTTACAGGCAACTTTGCCACAGTCGCTGCTTCAAAGCAAAATTCTAAATTTAAATTATGTAAGTAAATTATGATAAAGAATACAACAATTACCCAAAATAAAAACCTTTTTATATAAGTAATTACCACATTACTCTGGGAAACCTGTAAATATCCTGATTGATGTATAACACTAGAATATAAACCTCGACTGCCAAAATACTCAGACCAGCCGTAATCCCCAACGTTTATACGAGTACCTGCAGTTTTTAACCTAATATGACTAAAATTTAAGTGTAGATAAAAACAGTATAAACCATATAGACCCCATAAATACTACTACACTAACTTTTTAATCTACGCAACCTATAATTTACGCTTATAATATTTAGTAAATAACCAATTAAGGCACCGGGTACAACTTAATCCTAAAGCCAATACCTTAAATGTAAAAGTAAGACAAATTATGTATGACTCGGGAAAAATAACTACAGATTAAAAGGCCCTGCCTGTTACACCACCAATTCTTAATCTCATTATTGCTCTAGTTATAACAACTCTCTTATTTTTAACCTAACTTATTCTTCCTAAATTAAATAAACCCGTTAAACTGTGATAAACTAGACAAAAATCTATAACACACTGTTAACCCTGTGGCTAAAGCATATAAAATAAAAGCCAATAAATTAATATTTCTTATAAAAGCTACTTCCAAAATTAAATCTTTAGAATAAAACCCTGCCAAAAATGGTATACCACATAAAATTAAATTAGTCAAATTTATACAGATCCTAGTTAAAGGTATCCTGAACACTAAACTACCGATACAACGAATATCTCGATACTCTTACCGCATGAAGTACTACTCCAGCACACACAATTAATAATGCCTTAAACAAAGCATGAGCCAATAATGGAAAAAAGCTAAATCAGCAAAACCGAGGGCTAAAATCCTTAATATAACACCAAACTTCCTTAGTGTTGATAAAGCAATAATCT